ACCCATCCACAGCCCTTTCCTTACCCCACTCCTAACCCCATCCCCTACCCATGGCCTGCAGCCCCACCGTCCAACCCTAGCGTGAGGCTGCCTCCGCTAATGGCGCAGGCCCCGACACCCGCCATTCCCCCTTTCTTTACCCCTCTTTCTTCCGCTCCCGGAGCCATCCCAAGCATGAGCATGACTCCGCTAATGGCGCAGGCCCAATGCCCGCCATTCCCCCTTTCTTTACCCCTCATTCTTCCGCTCCCGGAGCCATCCCAAGCGTGAGCATGACTCCGCTAATGGCGCAGGCCCCGACGCCCACCATTCCCCCTCTCTTTCCCCCTCTTTCTTCAGCTATAGCTCCCAAAGCTGTCCCAAGCGTGAGCAAGCGGTTCCGGAAGCTATCTTTCCTCCTCCCCCTCGCATGCTTGCCCTTCCTTCTCTCTATCTTCCGCCATGCCCCTACCCATCCCTCCGAACACTCCCGCCTTGGAACCACCCCCCCGTAGCCAGCAACATCAGGACACAGATTTTGTCAGAAGCCTTCAGAAGCCAGAGGCCTTCAAGACCTACGTGCGGTCAGACCGCTTCCATATCAAAGAAGCGGTAACACTTTACTTGAAGGGGTGTGCATAAGACTGACATGGCACCTTCATAATCATGACATGACACATGTCTCCCGGAGCCATCCCAAGCATGAGCATGACTCCGCTAATGGCGCAGGCCCAATGCCCGCCATTCCCCCTTTCTTTACCCCTCATTCTTCCGCTCCCGGAGCCATCCCAAGCGTGAGCATGACTCCGCTAATGGCGCAGGCCCCGACGCCCACCATTCCCCCTCTCTTTCCCCCTCTTTCTTCAGCTATAACTCCCGGAGCCGTCCCAAGCATGAGCATGCCTCCGTAAGCGGTTCCGGCAGCTATCCTTCCTCCTCCCCCTCGCATGCTCGCCCTTCCTTCTCTCTATCTTCCGCCATGCCCCTACCCATCCCTCCGAACACTCTCGCCTTGGAACCACCCCCCGTAGCCAGCAACATCAGGACACAGATTTTGTCAGAAGCCTTCAGAAGCCAGAGGCCTTTAAGACCTACGTGCGGGTCAGACCGCTTCCATATCAAAGAAGCTCACCGAACCCTCTTCAGCCGACCCCTTTAACGCCAGTCCATCCCTGTTCAATCGAACTCCTTACCCAGCATAGCTTACCCCCTTTAACATCACCTAATCCATCTATAATGGCCCATCCCCACTCCAGCCATCCCAACAGCACCCCGCTCCCGCAGGAGCCTTACCTAATTCCCACACTGCCGCAGCAGTCCCCACTCCCGCAGGAGCTTTTCCATATTTCCCCACTGCCGCAGCAGTCCCCACTCCCGCAGGAGTTTTCCATATTTCCCCACTGCCACAGCAGTGTCTGCTCCCGCAGGAGCCTTTTCTGTATTTCTCTACTTCCGCAGCAGTGTCTGCTCCCGCAGGAGCCTCATCTGTATTTCCCCACTGCCGCAGCAGAGTCTGCTCCCGCAGGAGCCTTTTCTGTATTTCCCTACTGCCGCAGCGGTGTCTGCTCCCGCAGGAGCCTTTTCTGTATTTCTCTACTGCCGCAGCAGAGTCTGCTCCCGCAGGAGCATTTATCTGTATTTCCCCACTGCCGCAGCAGTGTCTGCTCCCGCAGGAGCCTATCTGTATTTCTCTACTGCCGCAGCAGTGTCCGCTCCCGCAGGAGTCTTTATCTCTCTCTCCCACTGCCGCAGCAGTGTCCGCTCCCGCAGGAGTCTTTATCTGTATTTCCTCACTGCCGCAGCAGTGTCCGCTCCCGCAGGAGTCTTTATCTCTCTCTCCCACTGCCGCAGCAGTGTCTACTCCCGCAAGAGCCTTTATCTGTATTTACCCACTGCCGCAGCAGTGTCTGCTCCCACAGGAGCCTTCCTCTGTATTTCCCCACTGCTGCAGCAGTGTCTGCTCCCGCAGGTGCCTTTTCTGTATTTCTCTACTGCCGCAGCAGTGTCTGCTCCCGCAGGAGCCTTTTCTAACTTTCTCTACTGCTGCGATAGTTGCGTCTCCCGCAGGAGCCTTTATCTCTCTCTTTCAGCAATGAACGCTTCCACAGAAGCCAAATTCTTGTCCTAGATACTGCCACAATAAACGTATACCAAAGGACGTCCAGCACCCCTCTAACATTAAGCCTTGCTTTTTGGGGGGTCGTAAATGCACGTATCTGGCTGCTGTCCTGTTCTAATTGCCTTTGGGGGAGTGCTTTTGGGCCGGGCTGGACACCGAGCTCGGACCCCTTTCCCCGGACAGGAGAAGGGTGCCCCGGGCTCGGGAGTCTTGCCGAGCTAAGCCTTGCTTTTTGGGGGGTAGTAAATGCACGTATCTGGCTGCTGTCCTGTTCTAATTGCCTTTGGGGGAGTGCTTTTGGGCCGGGCTGGACACCGAGCTCGGACCCCTTTCCCCGGACAGGAGAAGGGTGCCCCGGGCTCGGGAGTCTTGCCGAGCTCGGAGCTCTCTCCCTGGACAGCATGCCAAATACGCATAACCTTTATTTAATTATATGTAAGTGTGAACTCGTGAAATGAATGAACACAGCCACCCCCTCAAAAGCTGACTGTGCATGCTCTGCACTCAAACAAACCACACATAAATTGTGTGTATCCTCGTCCATGATGTAGTGAGGACAGGGATGAAGACATGTTTTGTGCCGTTGATCGTCGTCGTCATCCTTAAAGGGGTCATATGATGCTATTTTAAAGATCATTATTTTGTGTATTTGGTGTAACGGAATATGTTGACATGCTTTAATGTTCAAAAAACACATAATTTTTCAAATACTGTACATTATTGTAGGTCCTCTATGCCCCGCCTCTCTCAAACACGTCGTTTTCAACAATTCGGGCTCTGTCTTTACATTTATGTTGAAAGCTGAAGCTGCGATTATGGTAAGGGGCGTTACATTTCCGACGAGTGCTTGCGGTGTTCGGCCAATCACAATGCACTGGGTCAGCTGGCCAATCAGAGCAGACTGCGCTTGTCGGAAGGAGGGACTTTGTAGAAAACGAAGTGTTTGAGAGAGGCGGGGCATAGAGGACCTACAATAATGTACAGTATTTGAAAAATAATGTGTTTTTTGAACATTAAAGCATGTCAACATATTCTGTTACACCAAATACACAAAATAATTATCTTTAAAAAAGCATCATATGACCCCTTTAAAGGCGATTTTCTCAGTATTTAGATTTTTTGGCACCCTCAGATTCCAGATTTCAAATAGTTGTATCTCGGCCAAATATTGTCCTATCATAACAAACCATACATCAATGGAAAGCTTATTTATTAATTTATTCGAAAAATTGACCCTTATGACTGGTTTTGTGGTCCAGGGTCACATATGTGGGTGGATTTTGATGTTAGAGGACAACAGGTGATAGAGGTTTTCTCTGGAGGAAGTGTTATCATGGATTATAGTCTCATATTTTGGCCAGAAGCCAAATGGTTAAAGTGAAAAAAAAAACTTAATGTTTGATTTGTTTCTTACAAATACATGGTTTTAAATTCACAAAATGTTAAAGGGATAGTTCACCCAAAACTGAAAATTCTGTCAATAATTACCCTCATGTTGTTCCAAACCCATAAGACCTTCGTTCATCTATGGAACACAAATTAAGATATTTTTTATGAAATCTGAGAGCTCTCTGATCCTCCATAGACAGCAATGATATTACCACGCTCAGCGCACAGAAACGTAGCAAGGACATCGGTAAAATAGTCCATGTGACATCAGGGGGTCAACCGTAATTTTACGAAGCTATGAGAATAGTTTTTGTGTGCAAAGAAAACAATAATAACATAATAATAAAATGTGCACGCTGTCTACTGAACATAAGCAACGCTGGTTACCTTGATTACGTTCTGGAGTACTCTACAAAATGGCGGAAGACGGTAACTCGGGAACAAGAATTGCTGAATAAATTGTTATTATTGCTTTCTTTGCACATGTGGCAGGGTAGTTAGCCGCTCCCTGTATTGACGTTAGAATATTGTTAGCCTATCAGCAGGCATAGGTGGGTGTATAAAGGGCTGATTTGTGTCAGTCGGAGGTGTTACTCAGGTGCCCCCACCCCCTTTCTGGTACTGGCGTTCGACACTGTGTGTTTGTTAGTGGTGCGGCTAATTCAGCCACGGCTCGCTTAGGGTTGATTTTGTGCATCTATTGGAAAGCCGTATGAGATGTCAACTGGTTAATGTTTGCGACTGGTGTTTGGTTGGACTGCCTACTCGGCATCCCGTTGCTGTCAGCCCCTTGCATCTACACCGCTTCGCATCGTACTGGCTCTGCTTTGGTGTGGTGGTTGGCTGCATTATATAGTTTGGACATAATAGTTCCATCCATTGGTGGTCACAAGACATCGTGGTTTCTATATGTTGTGAACGAACCTTTCCAGTCCTGATACACAGAAAGCTTTGTTGTCTCCTGATTGGATTAATCTTTAATCACTCCTCTGAGTGGATGACGACAAGACCGGCAGGAAGTCGACCCAGAATATTGGAATCATGTGCTGGGTGATTAGCAAACCTCATGATGGCTGATAGGGGCATATCAGTGTCCGTTCATGATAGAAATCCCTACACAACTTTACAGATCTTCTTTATGCACCAAGAGCTTGTAACACTCCAAAGAGAAAGGAAAACTTGAAATTGCATCATATGACCCCTTTAATAAATAAAACATTTATTCATGCTTGGGTGTCGGCTGTGAATCCAGTGGAGAGAAATCCCCCACCACTAACTGCAAACTGGCATTCAGATCTGCCTCCATTTTGTTAGCAACGCCCCAACTTCCAACGATCCAATCAATTCCCGAAGGACACAATCAAGTCCCGCCCTCTCATTTCAGATGCCGTTTCACTCGGATATACGTCACAGTAGAGAAGAAAAGACAATCGCAACTTCCATTTCATGCCAACTTTAAATATCATTATAATACATGAGTGTATAAAAATGCAGTGTCATCAGTTTGTCTAAAAGAATACAGAATGTTTGAATGCTTTATGCACCATTTACACGTGGTAGGGAGCAGGTGTAAATTTCTTTTGTACCAACTAACATTTTCAAAATACGAACATTTTCATGAATCCGAAAATTTACATCAGAACGACTTTCCGAATGATTTACACAATTAGTTCTGCTCGTGTTTCATGATGAGGCCCAATGTAACTAAGATATAAATTGTGCAGTGTAGCACTTCATTGATTATAACAGAATGAGATTGCAATGAACTAAGATGAGTGACAGCTTTTTAGTGATTATAAGCAATGAATGACTGCAATCCAAGATTGCCACTGCCATTGTGTAGCATTTAGTACAGCATTTACGTCTGCTCACTGAGTGAAGTCTAGCAGGTCTGAACTGGTGTGATTGAGTGGAGGCAGGGACTAATTTGCAAATTCATAGATATGCCATTTTAGCCCAGAAACCATAGTGGCACCCCTCATTGTGAGATCTGTGACCTCACCAGTGCTGGGTAAATTACTTACAATGTACCCTATTACTGATTTCAAATTACATTAAAAAAATTGTAGTTAGTAACGTAATCCATTACATTAAACATTTGAGGTACTATAGTTGAACTACTTTTTGATTACTTTGAACTATGAATATACAAATATATGAATAATTAACTTATTATAAAATGGTTAGTTCCAGTCCTTGATTCTTGATTGGTCAACAGCTGTTTTATTCACAATAAAGCGTGGCTATGGCCGCTTCACCCAACAGTTCTGTTTATCACTGTGCAACACCCCTAGCAACCACTCTTAGCAACATAAACAATGTAGCATCAATTCATATTCTATGTATTATGTATTTCTGCAAAATTAGCTATTTTTTATTTACGTGATGAATTATGAGTGACCCCTATTAGCGTTATGTTGCGTCATTCACCTTCCCACACGCCCTTCCCCCATCAAAGAAAAGGTATGTTTGACTTGAAATAGCACTACACAGACCGATCGGTGTGTATGACATCAAAGTACCATGAGAGCATGAGAGCACTCTGGCTGATGTCATAGACAGATCGGTCTGCACAGCGCCGCTTCAAGTCGAACACATCTATTGTCTTCTCATATGGGAGATATGTTGATGTGTGCATGTGTCTGTGTGGAAGCCCACAGTTTCCAAAGTGTGGAGGGAATATTACTGTACTTATTAGTTTTCTGTTTCAGGTATGGTACTGCATGTCCATCAATTTACACTGTAATGACATTTGCAAACTTGCACTGTGCCACAAATTTGTTTGTTTTAAACTAAAAGCTGGAAAACTATTTTTTTTAATTTATTTATTTATTTATATTTTTGCAGAAGAATAGCATTTAATGAATTAAAAAAAGTAACTAAGTAAGTTTGGCTTTAATATTTGTATTTTGTGGTAACCATTTAAGCAATAGAACGTTTGCACCTACGTCACGGTTTGGTCAGTTACCCAGATGTGCGGCCATATTGGAGATATTAAGATGTAAACAACAGCATGGATTGCATGGTTAATGTACTAATGAAGACGTTGTTGTACTAATTTATGATGTCTAAACCACAGAAAAAAACGTGAGGAAGCTGCTAAATCATATAGAGAAGGACTTAGTAAGCAGGAAAGGGCGCAGTATTTTGACAAACTAAAGTTAATAGGTGGTAAAAATCCTTACGAGCTGGTTCCTTTGGCTCCTAGAATACAATAATAATAAATATAGCACCATTAAATAGATAGGCAGTTGTGGCCTAAATATTAGAGTCGGACTTGTAACCCAAAGGTCACAGGTCCGAATCTTAGTACTGGCAGGAGTTCTAGGTGGGGATGTGAATGTATACAGCACTCTATTTGCTCCAGCCATTGGAGCAATTGGCTGCCCACTGCTCCGGGTGTGTGTGTGCACTTGGATGGGTTAAATGCAGAGCACAAATTGCAAGTGTGGGTTACCATACTTGGCAAATGTCACAACTTTCACTTTCACATCTTTCCTCAGACAGTTTTTTTTTGCACTCTTCTCCTTGTAACTTCTTATAACTTTTGGCAGTCCGTAGTACTCCATATGTTTTTCCCGGTCCGACCGATTAGTACAGCCCAAAACAACAATAATTGACCATTTTCAGCATCAATAATCAGCTAAATTTGTGAGTTCCGTTCGGTTCAATGGCATTGTTTACTGACGTCATTGTTCAGATGACGTGTTGTGAAAACACTCTATAAGGTACTTGAGGTGTGCTGTATTGTGAAAAAGTCATGGTTGAAGGACGTTGTTAGGCACGATGCATAGTGGAGTGCCTGCAACCCCTTCAGTCATGACTTTCTTCACAATACAGCACAGCCTCTCGTACCTTATTGCTTACTGACCTTAAAATCTCAGGGGTTACTTCAAGTATTAAGTTGAAAGAGGTTCGGTTGACAAAAAAGGTTTGGGTACCCTGCAATGTAAATAAGAAATAACCTGAATTTGTGCATTTTAATGTGTTTGAAACACAAAGGCCTTCCAAAGACATAGTGACACATGATTAAACAGCACACTAAGTGACACACCAAATAAAAAATAATTTTCATCAGTAGTTAATGCAATGTTGAAATGTTGAGAAAACACTAAAATTGAAATGATTTTGTGAATCCACTGGTCAAATGCTGTGCGGACTCTTAATTTTCAATATGTAACCGTCTAATCAATAAAAAGAAACTGTAGTCTGATTAGAAGTATTTTAAAATGTAGTATAATCTAATTACAAGTACTTATTTTTGGAATCATATTACGTAATCCAGATAACATGCAATCATCTACTTCCCTCAACTGGACCTCACATGGTATGACTGCCTCTAGCGTAAGACATCGACAAATAGTTTGACATCATCGCGCCATAGGTCTTGCCCACTGCCATTCAGTCACTTAACTACCCTGATAGCGCACTATTTGACTTTCTTTTTTTTTTTTTGCAAGACGTATTATTTAGAGTGTTTGCTCATCTGCAATACGTCTATAGGACTTTTCCTATCAGATGTCAAATAGACATTTAGAATATGTCTTTAATTATTTAGAATGTATGTAAAACTGACATCTTAAAGACGTTTATCAGATGTTTGTACACAGCAGATGCTTTCCAGATGAAGATGATGTATGTAGATGTAGATGTATGTGTGCTGTCTGGGTACTGACACCTGTCTACACCTATGGAATGTGGATGGGGCAAAATATCTTTAAACAGAACGTGTGAAATTTGACCATGTTGACAAGCACAGTTTAAGGTGGCAGTTTTTAACAGGTTTCTTTAAAATGTGTAGACATGCACATTCTGGCTGTGTTAAGGCAGCAATTTGGAACATATAATATTTTTTGAAGGCATAGACCCTCATATTAATCCTGTCTTTTAGTTTATGGTGTTATTAACCAGTGCTGCACTGCTATCTACTGTGCTTAATGAATGTAGAATTGTAAATTATAGTTGCTGTCTTAACTTGTTTTCTTGACAGACAAACATAAACAATTAAGCTATCATTAAGTTAAGTACAGTTAAGTAAGTTTTTTAGCGAACTAATGATCTATGGACATGGCTTTCCTGAGATAAATTAAGTGTTATGTGATATTGTTCAACTATGTTTTATTGACATTTCAGCAGTTAAAACACTAATTACCTGAAACATTATATATTTCAGTAAATTGTACTGTATCTTACAACATTTTCCTGTGATCTTTCTGATGTTCATTTACATGAACATTATGTGTTCATTACATGCTATGGCTGCCTGGTAGTAAGGAGGATAAGATGATTTATTCACGTGTGCTCTGCTGTGTCACTGCTACAGTGATCTGTCATGCCACATTAAAGAGCATTAAAAGGCATTTATTGCGTAGATTGCATGATAAATTGGATAGAATTTGAAAGCTGAGAGTTTGTTATGAAAAGTAACAAATACAAAGCTTCATTTATTGATGTATCAACTGAAAAAAAAAACATTAAAATATTGAAATTGGATATAAGAATCGATTAAATTCCTTAAAATAGATATCAAATATAAAACTCAAAGTGTAGTTAAAACAATGCTGCATTTGTTTTGTTCACGTGACCAAAAAAAAATTCTTAAAAAAAATTAAATAAAAATGTAAATAAAAAAGTACAAACACCCCTTAATACACTGTATACAAAACAATATAATGTTAATAATTAAAAAAAAAGGCATTGCAAAGATTTTGCTTGTTTGTTTACAGGAGTGAAACCCAAAATGATAAAGCAGTGTCAAATCAGAGTTTACAGTTTTACACCACAGTAATGTAAAACTATTTCTTTTGTGTTTCCCTTCCCATGATGGCTTTTTTAGTGTTTCGCTCTGGATGTAAAAGGATGATGTAGCACTTTGGGGCAAATATGGCTACCAGTAATCCAAAACTAGAAGCTAAAATGGCAAATATCTCTACAGCCACTGCATATTTCCCTGGAGAGCTCACATATGCTGGAACAAATGCAATCCAGACAGCACAGAAGATTAGCATGCTAAAAGTGATGAACTTTGCTTCATTAAAATTATCTGGAAGATTTCTTGCCAGGAAAGCTAACAGGAAACTTACTGCTGCCAACAGTCCAATGTATGCCAGCAGCATAGAAAAACCGGCCACTGAGCCTATAGCACATTCATATACTATTTTAGAGCGGATATACTGGCTGTTTTTATGGGGTGTTGGAGAGGCAGTTGACAGCCAGACTGCACATATCACAACTTGGATGGCTATTAGGACCAGAACAGTGCATCTTTGTTGAGCTGCTCCAAACCATTTCATAGCGCCATTGCCCTCTGGTCGAGATGACTTGAACACGGCTATTACCACCATAGTCTTGACCAGGATGCTGGAAATGCACAGGACAAAGCTAATGCCAAACACAGCATGTCTTAACTGACATGTCCACAATTGCGGCCTGCCAATGAATAGCAGCACACACAGGAAACACAGTTTGAGTGACAACAGCAGTAGGAAGCTGAGCTCTGAATTGTTAGCACGTACTATAGGAGTGTTACGGTGATGCGCAAAGATGACCATAACAAGAGCACAGAAGCAGGCACCAAGCAGGGAAGCAGTTGTCAGAGAGATGCCCAGAGGATCCTCATAAGACAGAAACTCCACTTCTTTGAGGACACACTGATCTTTATCTGGATTGGACCAGAACTCGTCTGGACACACTGTGCACTCAATAGCATCTGTGAGTAAGAAAAAGACAGAAGGTGAGTTTTAAGAGGACATCAAATTCAAATTCTATTTAGTTTTTGCCAAAAATAATCACCACACCTGTTGTATTAGAAATCTCTCCATCTCCACATGGCAGGCAATCAAAACAGCAGACAGGAAAGCCTTTCCTTGTGGCTTGTCTAGTGCCTGGGGGGCAGCTCTCACTGCACACAGACCTTGGGGGCTGAAAGAGACATCATCTGTTATGAGTCATTTGTTTGTCTATCATCTCTTTTACATAATGACAAGCTTGGCCTTTCCATTACTGTATTCTCATTTGTCTTTTCATAGCTATTGACTATTTTTAGACTATGTCTGCAAAAAATGGCAACAAGCAATGCTAGTTACTTTTTTTGGCTCAAAGTTCCAATATAATGCATCATCATTCAATGTGAGCACCATCCCTGTTGCTGCCTCTTCATTTACTACACCAACCGTTTGGACCCTTATTGATCCATCAGAGCTTGGCTGCACTTTCACATCTTTCCTCAGACAGTTTTTTTTTGCACTCTTCTCCTTGTAACTTCTTATAACTTTTGGCAGTCCGTAGTACTCCATATGTTTTTCCCGGTCCGACCGATTAGTACAGCCCAAAACAACAATAATTGACCATTTTCAGCATCAATAATCAGCTAAATTTGTGAGTTCCGTTCGGTTCAATGGCATTGTTTACTGACGTCATTGTTCAGATGACGTGTTGTGAAAACACTCTATAAGGTACTTGAGGTGTGCTGTATTGTGAAAAAGTCATGGTTGAAGGACGTTGTTAGGCACGATGCATAGTGGAGTGCCTGCAACCCCTTCAGTCATGACTTTCTTCACAATACAGCACAGCCTCTCGTACCTTATTGCTTACTGACCTTAAAATCTCAGGGGTTACTTCAAGTATTAAGTTGAAAGAGGTTCGGTTGACAAAAAAGGTTTGGGTACCCTGCAATGTAAATAAGAAATAACCTGAATTTGTGCATTTTAATGTGTTTGAAACACAAAGGCCTTCCAAAGACATAGTGACACATGATTAAACAGCACACTAAGTGACACACCAAATAAAAAATAATTTTCATCAGTAGTTAATGCAATGTTGAAATGTTGAGAAAACACTAAAATTGAAATGATTTTGTGAATCCACTGGTCAAATGCTGTGCGGACTCTTAATTTTCAATATGTAACCGTCTAATCAATAAAAAGAAACTGTAGTCTGATTAGAAGTATTTTAAAATGTAGTATAATCTAATTACAAGTACTTATTTTTGGAATCATATTACGTAATCCAGATAACATGCAATCATCTACTTCCCTCAACTGGACCTCACATGGTATGACTGCCTCTAGCGTAAGACATCGACAAATAGTTTGACATCATCGCGCCATAGGTCTTGCCCACTGCCATTCAGTCACTTAACTACCCTGATAGCGCACTATTTGACTTTCTTTTTTTTTTTTTGCAAGACGTATTATTTAGAGTGTTTGCTCATCTGCAATACGTCTATAGGACTTTTCCTATCAGATGTCAAATAGACATTTAGAATATGTCTTTAATTATTTAGAATGTATGTAAAACTGACATCTTAAAGACGTTTATCAGATGTTTGTACACAGCAGATGCTTTCCAGATGAAGATGATGTATGTAGATGTAGATGTATGTGTGCTGTCTGGGTACTGACACCTGTCTACACCTATGGAATGTGGATGGGGCAAAATATCTTTAAACAGAACGTGTGAAATTTGACCATGTTGACAAGCACAGTTTAAGGTGGCAGTTTTTAACAGGTTTCTTTAAAATGTGTAGACATGCACATTCTGGCTGTGTTAAGGCAGCAATTTGGAACATATAATATTTTTTGAAGGCATAGACCCTCATATTAATCCTGTCTTTTAGTTTATGGTGTTATTAACCAGTGCTGCACTGCTATCTACTGTGCTTAATGAATGTAGAATTGTAAATTATAGTTGCTGTCTTAACTTGTTTTCTTGACAGACAAACATAAACAATTAAGCTATCATTAAGTTAAGTACAGTTAAGTAAGTTTTTTAGCGAACTAATGATCTATGGACATGGCTTTCCTGAGATAAATTAAGTGTTATGTGATATTGTTCAACTATGTTTTATTGACATTTCAGCAGTTAAAACACTAATTACCTGAAACATTATATATTTCAGTAAATTGTACTGTATCTTACAACATTTTCCTGTGATCTTTCTGATGTTCATTTACATGAACATTATGTGTTCATTACATGCTATGGCTGCCTGGTAGTAAGGAGGATAAGATGATTTATTCACGTGTGCTCTGCTGTGTCACTGCTACAGTGATCTGTCATGCCACATTAAAGAGCATTAAAAGGCATTTATTGCGTAGATTGCATGATAAATTGGATAGAATTTGAAAGCTGAGAGTTTGTTATGAAAAGTAACAAATACAAAGCTTCATTTATTGATGTATCAACTGAAAAAAAAAACATTAAAATATTGAAATTGGATATAAGAATCGATTAAATTCCTTAAAATAGATATCAAATATAAAACTCAAAGTGTAGTTAAAACAATGCTGCATTTGTTTTGTTCACGTGACCAAAAAAAAATTCTTAAAAAAAATTAAATAAAAATGTAAATAAAAAAGTACAAACACCCCTTAATACACTGTATACAAAACAATATAATGTTAATAATTAAAAAAAAAGGCATTGCAAAGATTTTGCTTGTTTGTTTACAGGAGTGAAACCCAAAATGATAAAGCAGTGTCAAATCAGAGTTTACAGTTTTACACCACAGTAATGTAAAACTATTTCTTTTGTGTTTCCCTTCCCATGATGGCTTTTTTAGTGTTTCGCTCTGGATGTAAAAGGATGATGTAGCACTTTGGGGCAAATATGGCTACCAGTAATCCAAAACTAGAAGCTAAAATGGCAAATATCTCTACAGCCACTGCATATTTCCCTGGAGAGCTCACATATGCTGGAACAAATGCAATCCAGACAGCACAGAAGATTAGCATGCTAAAAGTGATGAACTTTGCTTCATTAAAATTATCTGGAAGATTTCTTGCCAGGAAAGCTAACAGGAAACTTACTGCTGCCAACAGTCCAATGTATGCCAGCAGCATAGAAAAACCGGCCACTGAGCCTATAGCACATTCATATACTATTTTAGAGCGGATATACTGGCTGTTTTTATGGGGTGTTGGAGAGGCAGTTGACAGCCAGACTGCACATATCACAACTTGGATGGCTATTAGGACCAGAACAGTGCATCTTTGTTGAGCTGCTCCAAACCATTTCATAGCGCCATTGCCCTCTGGTCGAGATGACTTGAACACGGCTATTACCACCATAGTCTTGACCAGGATGCTGGAAATGCACAGGACAAAGCTAATGCCAAACACAGCATGTCTTAACTGACATGTCCACAATTGCGGCCTGCCAATGAATAGCAGCACACACAGGAAACACAGTTTGAGTGACAACAGCAGTAGGAAGCTGAGCTCTGAATTGTTAGCACGTACTATAGGAGTGTTACGGTGATGCGCAAAGATGACCATAACAAGAGCACAGAAGCAGGCACCAAGCAGGGAAGCAGTTGTCAGAGAGATGCCCAGAGGATCCTCATAAGACAGAAACTCCACTTCTTTGAGGACACACTGATCTTTATCTGGATTGGACCAGAACTCGTCTGGACACACTGTGCACTCAATAGCATCTGTGAGTAAGAAAAAGACAGAAGGTGAGTTTTAAGAGGACATCAAATTCAAATTCTATTTAGTTTTTGCCAAAAATAATCACCACACCTGTTGTATTAGAAATCTCTCCATCTCCACATGGCAGGCAATCAAAACAGCAGACAGGAAAGCCTTTCCTTGTGGCTTGTCTAGTGCCTGGGGGGCAGCTCTCACTGCACACAGACCTTGGGGGCTGAAAGAGACATCATCTGTTATGAGTCATTTGTTTGTCTATCATCTCTTTTACATAATGACAAGCTTGGCCTTTCCATTACTGTATTCTCATTTGTCTTTTCATAGCTATTGACTATTTTTAGACTATGTCTGCAAAAAATGGCAACAAGCAATGCTAGTTACTTTTTTTGGCTCAAAGTTCCAATATAATGCATCATCATTCAATGTGAGCACCATCCCTGTTGCTGCCTCTTCATTTACTACACCAACCGTTTGGACCCTTATTGATCCATCAGAGCTTGGCTGCCAGTTCAGCACATCATAGATGGCCAGAGCATCTCCATTCTTATCAAATGACACAAGATCCCCAAAGCCTGTGGTGAAGTTCACTTTCTGTAGGTAGTGAACCAGCTGTACAGTTTGTAGACAGGAGAGGTGTTATATGAAATTTGGATTAATATAATGCAAATATTTTGCTTTTCCACATCAGCTCTTCTATAAGCCTGGAGAGAATCTGCACTCTACCTGTAGTTCTTACCTGCCAAGGTTTCAGGTTTGTTATGTCAGCACAGCTGTTCCCACTGAATGGTCCTCTCCCCTCCTCACACTGCATCAGGTCATTAAGTGCATTTGCCAGGGCATAAACTGCCTTATAGACATTATAAGAGGCCCTCAGCTCTGAAACATCAGTGTATGGAGTGTCTGTGATGCTCAGATCCTCCTGTCCTGTACACACCGTTTTCACTTGCTCTCCATCTGTCTCTCTAACCCCAGTTTCAAAACTGCACCTAAACATGTTCTCCCAAAAGATCCTCAACATATTATTTTTTGGATCATTGCTGGGACGGAGACGTATTAGAAAATCATGAAGCCCCTGGATCTCTCCACGCCTGATAGCGATGCCTAGTGTGCCCTTCAGGAAGGGCAGTAAACGTGGAGTGTGGTGTACAAATGATGTGGCCCAAGCTTCACTCGCAATCCACTGTCTGCCTGTCATGTTCTGCAACACCACCTCATCTATCAAAGGTATCAAAAAGGATGGAGTGGAAAAAACAACCACCACTCTAGCTGTAGAGGCCTGAATCACTCCTGTTATATGCTGAATATCTCTGGGGTTGTTATCATGGGGCAGGCTTTCAGAAAAAGCAACACAATGTCCAAACAGCTGCATTTCCTGCTGGAAGGACTGAGAAGCGTAGACGCCGTAGTCATCATCACTGTAGATGAGACCAACCCAGGTCCATCCAAAATATTTTAAGATCTGAACCATAGCCCGCACCTGGAAGGCATCGCTGGGGATTGTTCTGAAGAAAGAGGGGTACTTTTTCCTGTCACTCAAACAGGAGCAGGTGGCGTAGTGACTAACCTAATTAGGGAGATGGAGAGAGGGGAGGGCATGAGACAAAGAAACTGAGTAATAATCAACAACGAAAAAAATATATATTAGAACTTTTTTCTTACTATAGGTACTCGAAACAGCCCCAGAATACTTGAAATCGCAATGGAAACTGTTGAACTTGAATCTCCCACAATACCAATCACTGGTGGTGGGCCAGTGCAGTTTAGGTTAGAGAAGGACTCCTCTGTTCCACTAGTCAAGGATAAGGCAGCCCGGAATGCCATTCCTAGCATCACACAGTTGTCATAAAGATGGTAACCAAGAGTGATGTTAGGCAGTAGGTT